CCTCCCTCCCTCCACACCACACAGGTGTAAATCCGACCGTACAACCTCCACATGGTACACCTTGGGTAATGCTAATGAGCGGGCGATACTGTAAACTTCAAGCCGCATAACTCGAAAAGTGCTTAATGAAAAAATACTTTCATCGTGGTTCGAAAAGCTCTCGAGGTAAAATATAAGAATATGCAATAAAAAATGGGGGTTTTTATTTGAGAAATTAAAGGTGACCTTTACGTGATCTTCAAACGACTATTCAAGGACAAACCAATGTCACCATCTTATATCCTTTTCGAAGTCATTAAACTTTTGTACGAAACATTTTTTTCTAAAATCCCATGATTTCCAGATATTTGACTGTTTAAAATAAAACGAGACACTCTGTATATAAATATATATACATATTTTTTTATAGTTTTTAATACCTTTAATCTTCATATAAATATATTTTTAATTACAATAATTTGTTTTATTTATGAGCTTTAATATTGTAGTTTAAATCGGCATTATGAAAATCTTTTATAAACCATTTCAAGATAATAAGCTTAAAGAAATTTTAGATTTCTTACACGATTATATCTAATAATATTATTTAAAATTAATAATATCTTATAATTATTGTAGATTGACGGAAACGCTTGGAGTTCTTTAGGCAGGACTTCAGCTGGACGTAAGCCTGTTTTTCTCTACCGTAATATTAAATCATATCAAAAGCACGCTGCGAAATTAATGAGAGGGAAAGCATCTTTACTTGACACCAACCATTCGGAGAAAGTCCCAGAGTAAGTATTTATGATACGTATATTAGCACTAAACTTCATTTGCTTGACTCCATAATTATTTGATGTAAATTTGTTTTAGATCGGCCGATACTCCGGACATTATTAATTCTGATGAAACGCAATGTAGATTTAATCCTAATAGTTATACCATGTTTTTTATTGTTCATAAGGACAGATTTCTTTACAAACAGAACTCCATTAGTCGTGCTAAAAAGGTACGTTCTACAATTATTTAATTGCTTCTGTACATATATTAACCCTCAAAACAGACTGTTGTTTTCTATCAATACGTAAACTGGACTCATGGGTCTTGCCCACGTTTTATTAAGTAACATTAATATTTATAGTTCAAAAAATTTTTAAAAGTTTACGTAAGTTCATTGAAGATTTAAAAGATGTTACTGAAATGTTTAAATAATGAAATTGGTGAAAAGTTTATTTTGAATATTTGATTGTTTTCTATGAAGAGCAATTGTTCGCATTGCACATCTAAAAAATTTATAGTTTTTTAAAATTTGACTCATAAAAAACACTGTGGAAGCTCTTTAGTACAGACCCTATAATTGATGAAAAAAAAAAAAATGGAATTGTCATTCAAAAACAAGTAATTATTAGAGAGCATAAAAACAGAGTATATTTTAGGAGAGATAAAGACATGAAAATTATGAAAAAAATAATTCTCATATTTATTTTGTGTTTTTAGTGAATATCTAATAAAATATAAACATATAAGATATGAAATAGAAACATTAAACTTTTTGAGCTCAAAAATATTTTCTCACCAACAATTTGCGCAAACGGAGCGCCTATGTTCGTCGCATACAATTTTGTCACATCGAAAGCAACAATATATTTTTCGAGCATTTATGAAATCGCAATAATAGCATCGCTTTCTTTTAGACAAATGATCACTATTAGGAGCTTCTTACATTTCTTCACGCGGAGCGCATAGCCATTTTTTAAAAATCTAATTAGAATAAAAGCTTCTAAATTACTCAAACTTTCAAAATATGTTTATTTTTATCAGAAGAATAAATACATATAAAAAAAACACGTTTTTCAAAATTTGAGTTTTGATCAACGGAAACTGGACTCGTGAGTCGTCCACCACCGATTTGAATCGCTCGACATATAAACAAGAACTGATATCAACAGGCTTCTGGCCTCGAAGTATCCTCACGATAAACAATTTTCCTACAGAGGGCCCATCTATAAAGATGCGCAAGTTTTTCTGAGCCGTTCTGAGTTCCGTTTTGAGAGTTAATATTTATATTAATTATTTAATGATAGTTACTTTAATTTTTATTGCTGTCTTAGATATAAATATTGAATTTGATAAAAAAAAACTAATTTGTCTTTATAGTGCCATCCAGCCATAACAAAGCGTATGGATTCCAAGTTTCATCATTGGCATGCATCGTGGGTGTCTAAGAATGGTACAGACATTCAACATCGATTGTGTCAAGATTGGCTAATGGGACGATATGAGAATTTAATTCCTCATAGGACACGAGTAATAACGGATAATGATCAAACACGTTCTCCCTATCGACAATATAATCGTTTTCGAGTAGAACGCTTACAATCTGATCCATTGACAGAAGGATCATGCGTCTAATGTTATTCCGTAGAATTTTTTGTGTTCTTTAAAATTTCCCAATGTTGATATGCTCGCTGTAATTAGTCTTTGCACTCAGTGAAAGTTTTTCTTTGGCAATAAGCGTTTTAGATTAAGATTTGAAAGTAAAATTCTTGAAATATGAGTTTAGTTTCGTGCCAATTATCATAGACATTTGATTCATAGCATTCTCGGTGTATATATATATATATATATATATAATAAAGTAAAGTTTTAGACTAACTACTGATGTGAAAAATAGTGAGGAATGTAATTGGTCAATGACCGTCCATATATTATATATACTATCTTATTATATATTTTAATACAGTTTTATTCTCCACGCTGTACAGATATGGTTTATAAGGTGATATATATGTTATGCAATTTGATACTATTAGCACTAAATTCACTGTATTAAACAAATTTTACTAATCTTTACATGATATTTAATGTATTCAAAATAATATTTTTTTAATTTTTATTGCGTTCTATGTTTGTTTTACGATATCAATATAGATATATTGTCCAAGGAAATTAATGTATTTTACAATTATGTATTCAAATATTTGCATCTCGATATTACTTTCGATATATTTAATCACACATGCACGCCCTATGCAACACACACACACATACACACACAAATACAAACAAAACAAAGGAGAGAGGTCTATATCTCTATTTAGATAGAGATGTGTATTTTTCATTCTAGGCAGCAGCCGAAGATGTCACATTTTTACGAGAAAATAAAAGGTACATTTATAAACATGTAAATATAAATATATTAACAAGAAGATATATATGCTAATGTACACGCACAATACATGTGTACATATACATTTATAAATATGTACAAAGAAAACATTAGAGCTCATATTCTATACATTTATTTATCCTTTTGGCTGCAATATAGAATCATTAAAAATGTAGAAACGGTAATGTTCCTGGACAGTGCGATAAAGTTAAAGTATGTGTGAAAATTATTGCGTGGAACAGGAGTTGGAAAGACATTGATTTACACGTATAATTATACAATATGTTTAATTGTTATGTCAATCTTACAGCATAATGCAATAACTGAATAATTTCTTAATGTATTTACAGCACATTGTAAATCCAGTGATTTGCAAATAGTTGGATGTTTTATTTATCAATGAAACAGCACTATTGTATGGAAATGTAATAATATTGATTATTATTGGACTTTTGTAATCAGATTTATTTTTTTTTTTTTTTGTAAAACGAGATTCAAACAAAGCTCGTGAATAGTCTAAATTAAAAAGTGAAATAAGCACAGCTATTATGCAACTATATTGATTTACAATTAATAATTGATAACGAATTTGATGCTTGTCTTGCTAATTTGATTACACTTTTATTAATTCTTTCACAGCTTGGTTAAGTCGGTGTTGAAATTATATTTGCGTGTAACGAGAGCACAAATTTATTTTCCACATACATCTGTATGGTATGACCATAGATGCAAACGAAATATTGTTTCACAAATGTTTCTACAAATGATGTCCACTCTTGACAGAAAAGATTTAGGATAAGAAAGAAAGAAAAAATAATGTATTTAATTAGAATTTAGTATATAACGCAGCCATAATATATATTACATATACTGTAATTTGCATAATTCTATATATATATATATATATATATATATATATATATATATATATATAATATTAATATATAATGACACTGTGGTTGTATATTTATCAAAGCATTTCTTCATCTGTAAAGGATAAAGATAGAGAAAGAAAGAGAGTGCGAAAGAATGAGAAGGATGAAAAGAGTGAAAAGGGTAGGAGGGAAAAAGAGAAAGAGAGAGACAAGAACAGCAGTCTTCCTGATGTTTAATCACTTTTGACTAAATTGCTGTATTTTACAAAAAATACTAATTTAAAAAAAACATATATCAAAAATAAATGTACAGACAATTTTATTACTCCAGATAATTTAATGTTCATATATTTTGCACAAATCATAAATAAACTATTAATATTAAAAAACTGTTATTTTTTTTCACCGCTAATTTTTTCTCATTAATTAGCTAGCCAGCTAGGTAGCTTGCCTTTCCGTTTATACTTGTAGTATTAATTGCAATCATATAGGTATGGAATCTAATATTTGTAGTAATTTATTTAACCCTTTTAGTATCCGCGAATTTTTTATGCTTAAAAATATCCTTAAAATATTGGTTTAATTAGGCATTTTTAAAAATCGTGTAAAAATTCTAAATATTGAAATAAATTAAAAATTTCTTTCTGTATATTATAGAAAAATGTTTTTTTTTTGTAAAAATGTCCAAAATATATTTTTTTCAAATATCTAAAAACCAATATATTGACTGTAAATATTATAAAATTTATAAAGTTATGTAAATTTACATTTTATATATTTAATAAATTGCTGTTATTTATCATGTAATTTTTACATCTTGATTGTGTGAATTCACCGAATTTTTTTACCTATGCCAGATAATGACACGAGTTGGAACGAGCTACAGTTGGCGCGCAGCTTCTTCACCCGGCGTAAAAACGCGAAATTAGCCGTGCTATCAGACGTTATCCCGGATCCGCTAACGTCGACGTTAACGTACAAGATTTCTGGATCCGATTTAATATTACATATATGCGTATATGCGTATTCTATTCGTTATAATTCGTTATATTCGTAAAAATTTGTATTTATTAAATTTTACTTTTTTGTATTTATGTAATAATTAATAGAATGAATGCCGGTGTACGCTCAGAGCTGCCTGTAGAAATATCGCGGCTGTCCGCTATTCGTATAGCTGTCTCACTTGCACTCCTCCATTCGACCGTCAAATGAGTGAGATAGCTCTTGAACACCGCTAACGAAGTATACCTCTTGTAATGCTTTCTCTCTTGATTGTCCGACTTGTGCTAAGGATGCAAGATCAAAACGTCCCTCACACATTTTGTCTCGTTGCTTACTCTGCCTCACGCTTCAAGAGATACGTCAAAGACGCGCTCTTTCGATTGTTTCATACGTACCCCTCTCTAGCCGGCGACGGACACCGTCGTCGCAGTATACATAACGTAGTACTATAGATTGGAGCATATTAGAGCGAGTAGGAGCATGTTACGACGCATAGGGATGGGCGATTTTCAAAAATAAGTCGATGTTTTAAATATCGATTAAAAGAAAAAAAAAAATCATAAAAGTATTGATTATATCAGCACTCGGAATTAGTTGCACATTTCGGGCCGATTCAGGAGACGACGCCTCCTGTTCCTCCACTACCGTTCGGCCGCTGGCGGCCGAGCCGCCAATAGCTCTGGCTCAGGAGCGTTTTATATTAGAAATAGGCTGGATTGTTTAGGCATCTCTCAGGAAATCGTAACATTTTTTCACTTACATAAATAATGTTTATTTTTATTAATACATTATATAT